CCTCCATTTTGGGGGGGGGTCACATCTGGCAATGCACAGGGCTCTGCATTCAGGAATTACTGCTCATGATGCTCAGGGGACCATATGTTATGCTAGGAATTGAACCCGGGTGGGTCACGTGCAAGGCAAACACCCTACCCGCTGTGCTACTGCTCCAGCCCCTAGCCTCCATGTTTAAGTGGAAAAAAAAAAAAGATCCTTACCCACTATAAGGGTAATCTTTCACTTCGAAGCAAACTCTTTTCCAAATGAGATGCCCTAAATAGAACTTATTATTTCGGGTATAAGAATACATGACTTGGTTGTTTCCGGGCCAGGGTGGGACTGAGAGGTGCTGGGGGACATACCCAGTGGTGGGACACCCAAGACCTCCCTGATGCAAGGCAAGTACTCGAGCATGCTGTGTCACTTACCAGGTCTCAAAGAGAATTTTGCTTTGTTCTGGTTTGGGGGGGCACATCTAACAGTGCCTGGGGGACCAAACAGTGCTGGGGTTTGAACTGAGATCTCCCATATGCAAAGCCTGTATGTGGGCTATAAACTTTATAGCTCTTAGAACTATCTCCTCAGCCCTGAAACAGGTCTTTTGCGGGGGAGTTGTTGGGCCACCCTGGTTGTTTTCAGGGCTTACTACTCTTGGCTCTGTGATCAGGGATCATACTTGGAAGGGATCAGGGGAACATATCGGATGCTGGGAATTGAACCCAGGTCAGCTGTGTGCAAGGCACACACCTTAGTACACCTTACCTGCTGTACTATCTCTCTGGCCCTACAAAACAGAGCTTTTCAAACCAAAATATGTGACTAAGTTGTTTCTTGATTAACTTCTCTAAACTTCAGCTGAATGACCACAACTTTCTAGGTAACTGAAATCTACTGAGGTGATAAACTATGTACAGGAACAACTATGCTGAAGGGAAGAAAACCAAAATAGCATCTGAGGCAGCTGCCCCAGGGCAGAGAAGAGGAGCCCTGAGGAGAGAGGAAATCAGGGAGGTTGCCCCGGTTGAAGTATTTCAGTTAAATCCTAGAGTAAAAAAAAAGAAATCTGGATGTTTGGAGGAGGGAAGAGCATTTGTGGCAGGAAGGAAAGGTTAGAGCAAATATAGGAAACTCAAGGTCGTGTACAGGAAATAACAAGTTCATTCTAGTTCATTCTAGCTGGTGCAAGGGATTTAAGGTCAGATGGTGAAATCAGATGAAAGAATAACAAGACTTGAAGGCCAAGCAAGAGTGTCTGAGCTTTATCCTCCAAGCCCTGCTGTGCTGTTTAAGACAGGAGCAGTCAGAATCACAGTACTTGTTTAGAAAAGTGTGTCACATGTGAACATACGGTGTGGAGCAAGGTACCAGGGAATGCTAGGAGAGGCCACACAGTGCTCAAGCAGGTGATGTGTGGAGGAACCAGGGCTGTCCAAGTGAGAATCAAGGAGGGAAAAGAAACAGGCAAGAGAGACACTGCAGAAGGACACGTGATGTAAGTGGGCTATCGTCTGGCTCTGGCCTATATAAGTCACAAGCAGAAAATACTGTCATTTGATCACTTGACATCCTGTTAATCATTGACCTGCTTGAGTGGGCACCAGTAACATCTCCATTCATCCCTGCCACGTGCTAGTGTAGCCCAATGGCGTCTGCTCATTCTAGGAACACGAACAGCCTCAAACCGATGTTTCAGGGTCTTGATGAAGAAGTCTGACCATCTCATAGGTGGGCGGCTACGCGATCTTTTGGTTGTGGAATCCAGTTGGTAATGGCTCTAGTCCAACGATCATCTCCAAATCTCATTACGTGTCTAGCCCATCTGATTTTTGATGCCTTGGCAAATGAGACAGCGTCCCTGAATATTTACCATCGACGGAGGTTGGAACTCTGAATTCTTTCTCTCATTTGAGTGAAGTGGTGATACTCTAAGCATAGCTCTTTCAATTCCTCTTTGGGAGACCCAAATAGTGAATAGCGTTCTCATCCTGTTTTCATAGGGCCCAGGTCTCTGAGGCGTATGTTAATGCAGGAAGAACAGTGGAATCAAAGAGATGTGCTCGGAGCTGGAGATTCTTTGTTCTCTTTGCAATTTCTTCAATGCTCTTGAAGGCATTACAAGCTGCTCTCTTCCTCCTGCACAACTCAGGTGCTAGGTCATTTGTCATGTTGACTTCTTGACCTAAGTACTCATAACTGTTGCATTCGGAGATGGTCGTTCCGTTGAGAGCGAATGGAACGTCAGGAATGAGACCCTTTCTCATAAATGTTGTCTTCGTGAAATTCAGCTGTAGTACAATCTTTCCACACTCCTGGTCGAAGTTGGCCAGCATTTGTGCTGCTTGGCTGATGTTTGGTGTTTGGTGTTATTAGAATGATGTCATCAGCGAAGGGGAGGTGGCGTAGTTGACGACCATCTATCTTCACTCCCATTCCTTCCCATTCCAGTCATTGCATGACGTTTTCGAGGGCACTGAAGAGTTTTGGTGAAATGGTATCACCCTGCTGAACCCCTCTCTTGATGTCAATGATTACCTTCCTGTAGAATGGTGAGATCCTGGAAGTGAATTCGTAATACAGAGGATCCTGATGTCCTGATGTATTGAATTTGAACACCCTGTTTGGCTAGGGCCTCGATGACTGATTCAGTTTCAACAGAATCAAAGGCCTTCTTTAAATCAATGTATATTAGACAGAGTGGCATCTTGAACTCCCGAGAAACCTCAATGAGCTTGGTTATGGTGTGGATATGGTCGACTGTGCTTACTCCTTTTCGGAAACCAGCTTGCTCGCATGGTTGTCCTTCATCTAGTGTTCTGCCAATCCTATTCAGGATGTCTCAAGTCAACAGCTTGTAGATGACAGGCAATAGGCAGATTGGGCGATAGTTGCCAATGTTGTGGATGTTTCCCTTTTCCCTTTTTGTAAAACCTGCTGATTTTCCATTGGGACAGAACCCTGCTTTCAGACAGGTAGCGTGTGAAGAGCCGAGCCAGTGTATTGATGAGTACTGACAGCAGGCTCTTCAGGTGTTCGGGTCTGATCTTGCTGGGTTGGGTGCTGTTCACTTCTTTACCGACGAAATGGCGTGTCAAATTTTGGAAGGGAGAACACTGGGGACAACATATCCATCCTGCGGAATTTGGTATGTGGGCAGGTGGACATGGCTATCGAAGAGATCCAAGTAGAAGTCATGGATAATCTCCATTGCCCTACTGGAAGATGTGATTTGTGATAGACCCATCAGGATGTCGGAGGGCAGTCATCTTGGTCTTGTAGTTTGCGAAGGATAGACGGGCATTACCAATGCTTTCCCCAGCTTCTGCTGCATCTGCCAGTGCTGCTGCTCTTCTCTCTTTGAGGTCTTCCCTTATTGCTTCTCTGCACTGCGTTGCGAGCTCAGATGTTTGCCTGTGGTTGCCTGAGGTTTGCGCCAAGTCACATTGGCGAATGAGCTCAAGAGTTTTCGAAGACAGGCCTCTTTTTGTGGCTATCTCTTTTGGCATTCCTCGCACAATCATGGAGGTGCTGAACCAGCTGACTGTATTCCTCATCAATGTTGTCAATGATGGCATCTTCCCATGTTGCCGTAATAGTGCCAAAGAGCTCCCAGTTGGTGGTCGTTCTGGGAGTTCTCTTTTTAAACTTTGCAGCTTTTTCTCCCCACTCTGTGAAGTAGAATTTTGCACGAAGGAGACGGTGGTCTGATCCTGTTCGGAATTTTGAGACAACAGCGACATCAGTCAGGCAAAACCGATGATTGAATATGATGGTCAATTTCATTGTGGAACCGTCCACCGGGAGACTCTTATGTCCAACGTTTAGATTCGGCCTTCTGGAATTGTGAATTACCATGGATGGTCTTGGTCGACATGATGAACTCAGACAGTCTCTCACCCTGTTTGTTCCATTCTAGGCCATGGGTCCCGACGTGGAGTTCTTCGGCTGACCTTCTCGGTCCTATCTTGGGATTAAAATCACCGACAATGATCTTGTAGAAGATGTGGTTTTCTTTACAGAACTTCTCCAGCTCTATGTAAAACTTCTCAATTTCTCCTTCATCATAATTGGACATTGGTGCGTAGACAACAAAGATAGAAACTGCTGGCAGTGAGCCACATCTATTCAAGTGTAATTGTCCGATTCGGGTTGTTAGGCATTTGAATGAATCTATGTTTATGGTCAAGTTCATGTTGACAAGGACAGCGACACCACTGACTACCTCCACTACCCAGCCGCGACCACACTCCAGGACGCTTTCCGGACATTCGGGCCGAGACTCACGCAGGAGTGAAGCCCCACAGAACCAGGGAAGGGGAACTCTGTGACCTTGGACTCCAGGCTCAACGGACCCGGGAACAGAGATCCTCTGCCTGCTCCCAGCAGCCCAGCAGCCCTCCATTACCTCCACTACCCAGCCGCCGCCACATTCCAGGACGCTTTTTGGACTGCAAAGCAGCCACGCGACATATAATAAAACACTTAATACAAGATTACCCCACCATATTTAATGGGGTTCAAATATGGTTTGAACCATGGGAACACCTGCAAGGATGATTAGAGGCCGCCCTAAAAGCCTCTATCCCCCTCAGAGAGCCTGGCAGACTACTGAGAGTGTCCCGCCCACACAGCAGAGCCTGGCAAGCTATCTGTGGTGTATTCGATATGCCAAATCAGTAAAAACAATGGGTCTCGTTCCTCTGGCCTTTAAAGAGCCACCAATACGGCAGCATTAAGAAGCATGAGGAACGAAAGGCTGATAAAATCTCTGGGCCTAACTAGGCTACCAAAACGAAGAAGGACAAAATGACTGTCTGTACTTTCAACGCACGTGCGCTGGCATCAGATACATCCATCGAGGACCTGATGCTGCAAGCACAAAAGATCAAGTACAACATCATTGGTCTGACCGACACGAAAAGGCATCAATCACATCATGCCGTTTTTGACACTGGGGAAGAACTCTTCCTCAGAAAATACTGTATTGAACAAAATATACGCAAAACCTCAGGGGGTACCTCAGGCGCTGAAGACAGGAATGGTTTTATGTAGATGTTGGAATCGTGCACTTTCAGGTCATGGTCCCCGAGACCTCTGGTCACTCCGATAGTTGCCATTACTCGGGCCTAGGAAGAATAAGGGTGGTCAGCAACACACAGACACAGAGATCCCATTCCCACCCCAACAGAGCCATATGCTGGGAGAAAGATATAAGTTCGAGTTCTTCCTGCTTTTCTATGTCTCCTGCTAATGCTGTTACTATAAAGTGTCCATCAGAGCCATATACTTGAGGAGTGACTTTTGTACTAATTGGCTGAATTTAGTGGGTTACTGTAGTCTTCCTTCAGTTTTGCTTTTTTTGGAGACTGGAGGAAAGAACGCCCAATAAAATAAATGCGATATATGTGTGCTGTCTAAAGCTAAGGGAACCAGTTCAAACAAAATCTATTAGGATCCATTCATCCACCCATCCACCCATCCATCCACCCACCCATCCATCCATCCATCCATCCATCCATCCATCCATCCATCCATCCATCCACTCATCCACCCACCCATCCATCATTCCATCCATCCATCTGCTCTTTAAGTATTTATCAAATACCAGCTCTAACTCTTGTTCTGTGATATGCACTAGTAAAAGATGTAAAAAAATCAGGCAGCTCCCAACCTCCCAAGACTCATCTATTATGCTTTATGAGTGGCGAAAATAAACTGTTAGCGACTTTGTAACCTATGCTGCTAACATCTCCATAAATTCCCTCAGAGTAGAAAAGAACAAAATGTCACTGTAACTACAGGGAGACCCCAGAGATGAGATCTGACCTCACAAATGCTTTCTCTAAACTGCCAAATGTTTTAAAGAAGCAATAATGCTTTCTAAAGCAATTTTATTGCCTCATAGTCAGCTTAAATTATTGCCAGGACTATGAAGAATTAGGCCCTATGGGTTTATGTGAGGACACCATGCTTGGGGGTAGAAGGTCTTTCCCCACACAGAAGAACTTGGTAAGAAAAATAAGAGGCACATAAATAGCTACTGTCACTGTCACTGTCCTCCTGTTGTTCATCGATTTTGCTCGAGCGGGCCCAGTAATGTCTCCATTGTGACAATTGTTACTGTGTTTGGCCTATCGAATAGGTCATGGGTAGCTTGCCAGGCTTTGCTGTGGGGGCGAGATACTCTTGGAGGCTTGCCTTTAGATAAAAAATATGACCAGTGGCTGCAAAGACAGTGAGCAGGTCAGGTTGTTTGTCTCATAAACCGCCATGTCTGTTTCAATCCTTGGCATCCCAGATGGTCCCCTGAGCACTGCCAGGAGTGAGCCCTGAGCATGGGGTCAGGAGTGAACCATGAGCACCACTTTATGTGGTCCCATACCCAAAACAAAACCCAAACAACCCCCACCCTGCCTCCCAAAAAACGAATTAAAAAATGATCAGGTATTAAAAGAAATGAAAACAATGGGATCTGTGACTCTGGACAAATCTGCTAAGTTTCCTGCAGCAGGTGGTACTGAATTCAGTATAGAGGATGTGCAGCATGAGGCAGCTGCACAGAGGGAGATGGTGAGCTACTTGGGGGGTGAGGAAATGGGCCTGACACTTGCATCTTCAATAATATGCCCCGCCCGGTGTCAATTCGGAAATCCGAGTCTGATTCCTAACTCTTTGCTTGGGTTGTGCTCAGGGGCTACTCTCAACCCTGTGCTCTGTGCACAGAGCTTCCTCCTGGCTGTGTTCAGGGATCATCTGGGATGCTAGAGATTGAAAGCCGGATCAGCTGTATGCAAGACAACTGCCTTACCAGTTATATTATGTCTTTCTCGCCCCCTTCTGATGAGTGTTTTGGGGAGCACCCAGTGCTGAGGACCGAACTTGAATACAAAGCATGCACTTCAGCCCTTCGAGCTTTCTGGCAGTCCACGGTAGTTGTAAAGACCAGAGTCAAAGATGGTGGCATATGGATACGTGGTGCAAAGCTTGCAACCTTCTGGCTGGCTGGGCTGTAGGAAAACCCATTCTGCTGGGCGGCGGAATGCCTCTCTGGAGCTGAGGACAGTGATTCTGGGATAAAGCTCCGAGTCCCCTGCACCCCAGCTCTCCTGTGGTGGCAGCTTCTCTAGCTTGGTAAAGCAGAGGAAAGCATTTGAGTCCAAAAGAATGGGATGTTTCAGCTAATTATGGAACTTGTGTACAGAGTGTATAGGTGTTCCCTGCACACATCCAGAGAAGCATTCGAAGAAACAAAGTGAGACATAAATGATGGTCAAAATATTCTGACACTTAGGGGCAAAGAGGAAAGCAAAAAGCCCCATAAAGGGTCTGTCCTCTAGAACTGCTGAGGTACAGTTGTAAAGATTTCTCAAGATATCACACAGCCTCTTGATTTCTTGACAGTAGTATTCAATATGCCAAACACAGTAACAGCAAGTCTCACAACGGAGACGTTACTGCTTGAGCAAACCAATGAACAACGGGAGGACAGTGCTATAGTTTCTTGAGAGCCCAGAGGGAGAGTTCCTTCCCCTCTGTACTCTCTTTTAGGCCCCCATGGTGGCTTTTAAGAAGGTCAATAGGTACAGAGACAATTTGTCAGCTGTCCATTGCAGAGCCGTTAAGTCCTAATTAATACAAACACTCAAGGAACACAAATGCTATCCTAATGCTATACTGAAATAGGGAGCTCCGTGCTCTTTTAAGTCCAGCTGCTAGGGCCAAAAAGAGATTATAGAGGTAAAGGCAGTTGTCTTGCACAAACCACACCTAATTCAATCCCAGGCACCCTATTTGGTCTGTCTTCTGAGCCCCTTAAGGAGTGATCCCTGAGTGCAGTGCCAGGAGTAAGCCCTAAACATGGCTGGGTGTGGCACAAAAACAAATAATAAACCAATCTTACTGGTGATAATGATCTTAGATATTCCTCCTAGAAGCAGAGCCTTTCCCTTCCCAGGTCATGAGTCTTAGCGAGGGATGGTGAGATGGAAGGCCACCATCTCTAGAGACAGGGCAAGTTAGTTTAAAAGAGATCAGTAATTTGTATTTCATTTCCCTCCAAGAAGTGTTTTTTTCCAGTGATATCAGTGATAACCCTCTCCCCCCCCCCCCCACACACAGAGGAGTACTGAAGTTCTATCCATGAAAGGCATTCTTCAGCTTTTCTCTGAGTCATTTTTTCCTGATAAAAGTCATCATATCCTGAAATATTCGGCTGAAGAGTCTTCCTGATGTGACCTCATTTTTCACTTCTCACTGCAGCTCTCAGCAGGAAGCCTAAATAGATTCCTGTTCAGAGGAAGGCTGCAAAGGGTTCAGGTTTGCTCTGATTGGGAAACGGCCTCTACACCCGTCTCTGCCAGGAAGCGCGGCCTCCTCCCGCCTCCTCCCACATCATGCTACATGGATCCATTTTCCTTTGCACTGGAGCGACTCAGTGTTGGATTCAGGCTGAGGCACGGAGAGGTGCTGATGGACAGCCTTAGGGATCTCAGTGGGCTCTCCATGCAGGAAACACTATAGCTTAATTTTAGCAGTAAAGGAGAACTGCATGGTGGAATGAGAGAGCATATGAAGGAGGGATGGATCTATGGCCTGCTCCGCATCACCCGACGTTAGTTGTGGGATTGCATCTGAGTTACTTCACCTCAGATCTCCAGCCAGACAGACAAGAGAATGTCTGTGAACGCGGTCGTGCTTCAACACTACAGAAAGTTCTTCAAAAGAACTATGAAGAGGACATTACTTTCATGCCATTGATTTCAGTCCCTTGTGCCCACGGCCCCTTCCCTAGCCCAGCCATTCCTTGGACATTTGAGCACAAAGGACTGAAGGATGAGGCTTGTCCTTGCAAGCAGGTGTGCAAATCCAGAGCTGCTGAGTGGTACAAAGTTGTGTTCTCTCAGTCTGGGGGAATCTGTGAGCCTACCTTTTTGCCTTCTCCATAGATTAGTGGGAATTTCAAGTCATCATCTTCAATGGTTTTATATGCCCTGTAGGAGGATAAACAGCATTAAGACAACAACAAAAGGTTTGCACTGACTCAGTGACTCACTTCCTGACACGGGCTGCCGGGCTGCCAGGTTCTTTATTTTCCCCGAGACTCCATCCATTCTTCATACCACCCAAACCCCTTTCTTATTTGTTATTCTCCTGGCAGAACTCTCTCTCTCTCTCTCTCTCTCTCTCTCTCTCTCTCTCTCTCTCTGTGTGTGTGTGTGTGTGTGCACATGCACATACATCTTTCACCAAACTGGGAAACACCAAATCTTCCTACATTCGAAGATGGAGAAATAAAGCTAGCATATTCCCAATGAGCAAGAAGGAAGGTGGGATTCTGTCCTAAGCAGTTAGTGTCTGTGGAATAATGAAGCTTCCCAATAGTGACAGGGTTCTTGTCATTACTCTGAAACTGTGAGAAATAGCAGAGCTCAGAGCTGGGTGGAGTGTGAAACTGCTCTGAGAGCCAGTTCTCACCTTCATTGATTGTTTATACCAAAGCAGCCTTGCACTGGGATGGTCAGAAAAGGAGTATTTTGGAGTCGTTTGACCTCAGTCTGATATTCAAGGTTGCCTGAAAGTACTTTGTTTCACCATAGCTTCCAATTTGTTATTTGAGACACAAGAAAGAAAAATCTGTTGATGCTTTATGGTTTATTTCACACAGGGTTGTTCAATGAGTGTCTGCTTGCATGACTAAGGCAGGAGAGCAGATGAAAGTGTCCCTTGCAATCTTACTAAGGGACTTAAAATACTAGCAAGCAGGCTGGGGATGTGACTCTGTGCTGGAATGTACACATCACACATTGATCCCTGGTATCGCAAAAACAAAACAAACCAGGCAAAGTGGGCAACTCATTTACTAGTGCAAACACCTGGACAAGGAGCTCCATCTTGACCACAAGCAGTGCTGGGGATCTGCATGCAAGGCAAGCACCTCAACCCCTGTACTATCTCTCTACCTGGCCTCAATTTCCTTATCAGTAAAGTGAGTATGATCACACAGGATGGAAAGATCCTGGTACTTAGTCAGAAGTCAATCCTTGGAAGTGATTACAAATATTTAGTCAGTAACACCTGGTACACCAGTTCTTCTTGATGTACCATGGGGAACACTGCGATCTAGTTACCAACTCGAAGGAGTATAAGAAAGACTAAGTTTCTGTTAGGTCAGGTGGTAGAAGCAAGATGCTTTTCTAAAATAATTCTCCTGGGTTGGGGAAACTGCTCAAAAGGATCGTGCTTTGCTTGGATGAAACCTGGGTTTGACCCCCAGTATCACCTGGTCATCCAAGCACTGCCAGGATGGTGGGTGGTGTGGTCCCTCCCCCTGCAAAATTCTCTTGTTCGCATTAAAACAAAAGAAAACAAAATGGCTGCAAGAAATGGCCCTTCGGTCCTGGTATCTCTTGAGGGAACTTTGGAGTGAATCTGACATCAAATGTATGGCAGGTTTTTTTTTTCCTGCTTTTTGCTTTTTGGTAACACCCGGAGATGCACAGGGGATACTCCTGACTTTGTACTCAGGAATTAATCCTGGCGGTGCTTGGGGGACCATATGGGATGCTGGGAATAGTACCTGGGTTGGTCTCGTGCAAGGTAAATGCCCTCCCCACTGTACTATCGCTCCCTGTATGGCAGCTCTTGATATACAAAGGAATGCAACCTAATTTAAAAAGAAAGCAAACCCTAAATCTATTGCAATGATAGCATCAATGTCTAAGAAGTTATTGAGATAAGTTGTTCTTTCTAGTGGGTGCAGAATCTGTGACGTTCTGGCTACAGATGTGCCTGGTTTGGCTTGAGTACTGTGCTATGGAGCTCTGGGCAAAATCCCGAAACTCTGGGAATCTTCAGACCCTCATTAATCAGAGAGGCCAGCACTGTGCTCCCTGTAGTTTGGTGAGGACAGACATGGGAGACTGGGTGTAAAATGGCTAGAAAGGCTCTGGAAGGCTCTAGTATATGCTGAGAGCTCAGCAGTGCTTGCTGCTGTGTTAACGGTGCCCAGAAGTACTCTGCGAATTTAATTTTCAAATAATTGTTCCAACAAACAAAAACCCCAAACCTCAGACAGTACCATTTTCTTCCTCCCAAGTCCACTGAATTAACAAGCAGTAGAAATAGTTCCACTTGGATGTTTTCATATTTACATGAACTATTTAAAACACTGGTGTACAAGTCATTTGGGAAAACAAATAGAGCTATTATTAGAATCCAGACTCAGCTTGAATGGGTTTGTAGACCAATAGCTCTCAACCTTGGATACATGTTTAAGGGACTCAGAAGGCTTCAAAAACAATCCTTAGTCCCAGGTCAGACCTCAGAGCTATTAAATCTGAGTTTCCAGGGATGAACACCAATGTCATTACCTCACATTTTAAGGTGGCTGTCAATCAGCCCCTATGGGGTGAAACTCTATGACTCAAGGGGAATGAGAGAAATAAATGAACTGAGAGACTCTGAAATCAGCATGTGCTGTGCTTGGGCACCTAGGAGGGCACAGATGACAGGAGGGGGACAGAGGGGACTGGACGCTATGCTCCAGTCACCGGGATCTGGATTAGAGGGAAGACAAGAGGCAGCAGAACCAGAACCAATAATGGGGAATTAGAACTCAGAAGGGACAGACAAAGTGTATGATCAACAAGCTGGAAAAGGCAGGGAGAAAGCTGTTCTCCAACTCTACTATAAGTCTAAGTAATTAGATTTTCTCAGTGTAGCAAATATTAGGAATCACAAATCTGTACTACCAGAATTCTGAAACACTCATTTGGATTGGTCACCCAAATATATCAGAACAATTGATGTGCCAATATTGCATTTTAATATAGTATATTATATATAAATTACATATAAAATATATATTATACTATATGTTACACACACACATATGTATTTTTGGCACTACCCAGGATGTTCAGTGATCATTCTTAGTGAGCGTGGGAGATCATGTGGGGTGCTGGGGATTGAACCCGGGTAGACCACGTGCAAGGAAAGTATCCGACCTGCTGGACTATTTACTGCTCCAGTCCTGACATAGTATTAAATTTTAGCTTGTTTCACATCACCTCTAGGCCATAGGCTTAGCTGGATATTTCCAACTGGTCCTTGGTGTCTATAAACTCACTCCGGGGTTGGCAAGAGAATAATGAGTTGGTAACTTGAGAGTTCAGAGAGATAAAGTATTTGGGAAGTCAGATTCAAAGAAAATATGCCAATAAAGAATGCTTATAGATAGCACATACACACAATCACACACACCACCACTATGCCCTGTGAAGAGGGGAAGAAACTGGGAAGGAAGGGAACTGAACTCAGCCTCCTCTTTGGAGCCTGGAGTTCTGAAGTCCTGATTGCACTTCTTGATGTTGTTAATGGTGGCCAAACCCAGTGATGTGTGGGGACCATGCAGTGGCTGTAATTGAAATCAAGGCATGTGTCCTAATATTTGAGTCACATTCCCTACCCTGATCAAACACACACACACACACACACACACACACACACACACACACACACACACACACACACTCACACTCATGCACCCACCAAAGAAAGATTACTCATTAGTTTCACAATAATATAACTGACCAGAGATCATATTCAAATAATTATTTGTTACAGGAAAGTAAAATAAAAACTTTAGGACATATTTTTTGGATAAATCATTTTGGGTCAATTCTTTTATGAATACTTATGAGGTCAACTGATGAAAGGATGAGACAAGGAAACAATGGAAGTCTTAAAAAGAGCTAAATTAGAGATTTCTTTAAGTTGGTAACAGTATCCTCAGAAGTTCACATTAATCTTTTCTTCTGTTCCTGGATCTGGAGAGGTAGTACAGGAGTTACTTGAATGTGCTCCCCCAACCTCCGTTTATTCCATGGCAGCACATGGTCTCCTGAACACCACCAGCAGCAACAAAGTCAGGAGTACCCCTTGAGTACAGATGGGTGTGAACCAAACCCCCCCACCAATTTTTTCCTAGTTCTATTCAATAATATTTCTCTCTTTGTCCCTTGATAGATAGATATGGATATATTGATTTTGGGCCATACCTGGCAGTGATCAGGACTTAGCCCTGGCTATTCACTCAGGGATCACTCCTTATTGTGTTTGGGGGACCATATGGGATGTTGGGGATCAAACCTGGGTAAGGCTGCATGAAACACAAGTACCCTACCTGATGTACTATCTCCCCAGTCCCTGTATTCAGGGATAATTAAATTAAATTCTAAGATAAAAAAATATATATATGAGGATATAACCTACATATTTCACAAAGGAGAAAGTTAAAAAAGATAAAAAATAAAATAAAATAGATAAAAAGAAAGATAAAAATATATATATGAGGATATGACCTACATATTTCACAAAAGGTGAAAGTTTTACTCACCTAATTAACATATTCATTAACTTATCTAATAGTAAGTAATCATTTCCTGCAATGTTGACTTTGCAAATATGAAAACACAAGACACCTCCTGGAATGAAGAATTTTAAGTACTGGAAGTGACTGAAACATTACCACATCTACTGAACCCCAAATGGAGCAGTCCCTCCTATTACATGCTTCAAGTGGGTCCTTGCTCTCTGGCCCCAGATGCGCTGCTCCAATGGTCACTGTTTTTGGAGCTGGAACTTGGACTGGTCAGGTCATTCCAGAGGTACAGCCCTGGAAATTTCTTAAATGGAACCAAATAGTCACCCATGGATATATCTGGTCTGCTCCCAGGAAAAACAGAAATAAATCTGGTCTGCTTTCTCATTCTGCAAATATTTGAAGAGACTGAGTTCAGTTCCCTTCCTTCCCAGTTTCTTCCCCTCTTCTTCACAGGGCATAGTGGTGGTGTGTGTGAGTGTGTGTGTCTATGTGTTATTTATAAGCATTTAACAGATACGCAGTCACTGAGCCCCAAGACTACTTGATAGTTCCCCCTTCAGGGCTTTCTAGATCATTAGTGTCTTTTATTTTGGGGTGCTGGGGGGG